GAAAGATGTGTACCAATTGTTTTTACTAGCCCATTTTAGTAAATACCTTTGCTAAAAAGCTAATTGAGGCTACAGGCTGACAATCAATGAGAAGCACTGGAGTGAGGGTTTGTGATAATACTAGAAACCCAGGCCTTCAGGGTTGCTATTAGGACCTCAAAAGTAGCAGTCAACTGACTCTCCTCTGGGGAACCCAATGGATAAGAGTGAGTTTGTAGAGGAGCCCAATAGGGGTTACTACAACTATATGTAGCATCTGGGGGAAACCCTTCCAATTAACATATAGGTTGCCCCAGATTCAAAGTGCTTTGTCAGTTGTTGTCCATCCTTCATTTCTAAAGAGGACCAGTGACTTCACAAGTGATATCTTGACTTGCCCATGAATTGGATTTCAGTGAGGCAGAGCTGCATAAAGTCATCAGCCTCACTCTCTCTTCCAGAGTTATTGAAGTCCAGTGGCAAGATTAAAGTCAAGATAACTGGTAATAGCCTGGGATGTAGGGGATGACCTTGGCATCTTCGGTGTCTGACCAACCTCTAAGCACTCCACACTACCTGCTTCAGCCACCTTCATAGCCATTGGAACAAATTGTTCTCATCCACTAGTCCAGCCAGGAAAAATTTTTACCATGCTTGGGGTAGACATCCTCCTGACCCACAGATGGGTTTGACTTCTGTCCATTACCCTCAACCTGTTTTAACCTGTCTTTGAGACAGTTTTACCACTGGATGGCCACTGTACATGCTAAGGTTTACAGGTGAGAGTTGGAGTCAGAAGAGTTGGGGGCATCTATACAGAGATACCTCAGAGAATACTGTGGGTTTGGTTCCAGAACACAGTAATAAAGTAAGTATCACAATAAAGCAAGTCACATTAATTTTCTGGTTTCCCAATGCATATAAAAGTTATATTTACACTATACCATAATCCATTAAGTGTGTAATAGTACTATGTCTAAAAAATATATATACTTTAATTTTAAAATAATTTTATTTATTGCTAAAACAAAATGCTAACCATCATCTGAGCCTTCAGTGAGTCATAATTTTTTTTGCTAGTGGAGGGTCTTGCCTTGATTGATGGCTACTGACTGATCAGGGTAGTGGTTGCTAAAGGTTAGGGTGGCTATGGCAAGTTCTTAAAATAAGACAACAATGAAGTGCACCACATTGATTGACTCTTCCTTTCACTCTAAAACTCATGTAGAGTTATTAATTGGCCTAATTTCAATATTGCTGTGTCTCAGGGAATAGGGAGCCTAGAGGACAGGAGAGAGACAGGGAACAGCCCCTGGGTAAAGCAGTCAGAACACACACACACAACATTTATCAATTAAGTTCACTGTCTTATGTGGGCATGGTTCATGATACCCCAAAACAATTGCAAGAGTAACACCAAAGATCACTGATCACAGGTCACTGAAAAAAAAAATAATGAAAAAGTTTGATATGTTACCAAATGTGACAAAGAGACACAATGTGAGCATATACTATTGGAAAAATGGCACCAACAGATTCATTCAATGCAGGGTCACCACAAACCTTCAGTTTTTAAATACAAAACAAACACAAACCACCACTATATCTGTGAAGTACGATAAAGCAAAGTTCAACAAAATGAGGTACGCCTGTAAAATGGCAATAATCCTCACATTACCAATCTCACAGCTTCATTGTTTTCAACATAAAGAGCTTCCAAATTTGTAAAATTATTTGCAAATGTAAACTATTTCTAAAAATGAAATATGATCTTGAAAAGCTTGAAATGTAAGCAAAAAAAAATTCTACTTAGCCCCAGAAGGAGAAACTAGGGAAAAAAAGATTATAATGGAATGAAAGGTGGAAAGGGTTAGCTACCAACCCCCTCACTTTAGATCTTCAAGCAAAAGTTAGATTGTCACTTATTGGGTATACTTTCTAAAATTATTCTAAATTTAAAAACAAAAACAAAACCACAATGAAAATAAAATATGAAATCATGAGGTTCCATTTCATACCTCTTTTTAAAAAAAAAAAAGTAAAGTATATAAATTCCACATTTACTTTCAAATTGTCTTGTTTGTCTATACTTCTTTCTGAACTTCCTTCTGTTTTCTTTATGCATTTTGAATGTTTCATTGGCCTTTTTGAGAGGATAGAGAAGGAGACGTCACTACTGCTAATTGGACATATTTTTAGAAGAGCTTATTTTTAAGATTTTGGTTGGATTAGGTGGTCTCTGAGGCCAACTCTGACAATCTATGATTTTGTTCTTTCTTATAGTTTCTTCTTTGAGAACAGGAAATCTTTTTTGTTTTATGATAATTCACATCATCTTGAACAATGTCAAGTCAATAAATTTTGTCATGTCTATGATGCCAACAATGATGAAAACTGGTGTTGAATAGGGAAAGATGACATTTAGGAGAACAGAAGAATGAATTCAATTTGAGCAGATTTTAAAGGGTTGTGAAACATTTCAATGACCCATGGGATCATAAGCCTAAGAAAATTAGAAAAAAAGCCCATAAAAATTTAAGGAGAATTTTGAAGTTCAAATATGGTACACATCTGCTTTTGCATTCCTCGTCTAAACACTGTAAAGTCTGTGTAAGTTCCTTGAGAGAATGGAGTGCCATTTTTCAAAGAATAGCTTCAAACTTCAAATCTTAGAGAGTTATCTTAGGTGCTAAGAGGTTAAGTAACTTGCCCAGAGTCACAAAACTAGTAGGTGGAAATACAGAGGTTAGAAATAGGAAATCCAAACCAAAAACCCTACCCCCTTTTTATCCAATATTCTTGTGGCCTCTGTAGATCTGCATTATAGCAAGCACTAAATAAATGTGAATTGAATTTAATTAAATTTAATTTCTGCAGGTCCAAAATATTTCAACCAGCTCTATTCCTTAGATGCTAAGAATGCTCCATGCATGGAATAGTTTGCCTGTCAGAACAATAGATAAAAGAATTTGTGACCAAATGAGATAGAAAACATTTCAGGATATACAATGGACAATTTTAATTATATTAAGTTAAAAAGTTGTTGCACAAACAAAACCAATGAAGCCAAGATTAGAAAGAAAGCAGAAAACTGGGGGAAATTTTACAGCAAGTTTCTCTGATAAAGGCCTCATTTCTCAAATATATAGAGAACTGAGTTAAATTTATAAGAATATGAGTTATCCCCTAATTAGCAAATGGTCAAAGCATATGAACAGTCAGTTTTTAGAAGAAGAAATCAAAACTAGCTATAGTTATATGAAAAATGCTTTAAATCAACATTGATTAGAGAAATACAAATTAAAACAACTCTGAGATACTACTTCACATCAGATATGACAGAAAAGGAAAATGACAAATATTGGAAGGGATGTGGAAAAATTGAGACACTAATGTGCCTTTGGTGGAGTTGTAAACTGATGACCCAACCATTCTGGAGAGCAACTTGAAACTATGGTCAAAGGGCTATAAAACTCTACCTATCCTTTGACTCAGCAGTACCACTACTACTTCTGTATCCCAAAAAGATTTTTTTTAAAAAAAGGGAAAACACCTATATGTACAAAAATATTTATAGCAGCTTTTTTGTGGTAGTAAAGAACTGGAAATTGAGGGGATGCCCCTCAACTGGGGAATGGCTGAACAAGTTCTGATTGTAATGGAATATTATATGATGAGCAGGATGCTTTCAGAAAAACCTTTAAAGACTTACATGAATTGAGGTAAAGTGAAATGAGAAGAACCAGGAGAACGTTGTACACAGTAACAGCAATATTGCACGATGATTAGTTGTGAATGACTTAGCTATTCTCATTCTCAGCAGTAAAATGATCCAAAGACAAATTTGAAGGATTTATGGTGAAAAATACTATCTACCTGCAGAGAAAGAATTGATGGAGTCTGAATACAGATTGAAGCACACTTTTTTAAAACTTTATTTTTCTTGTGGTTTTTTGGGGGGAGGAGGTCTGTATTTTCTTTCACAACATGTCTACTACAGAAATATATTTTGTATGATTGCACATGTATACTCTATATCAAATTGCTTGCCTTCTCAAGGAGGGGGGAGGGAGGGAGAGAATTTGGAATGCAAAATTTTTAAAATGAATGTTAATTGTTTTTAAATGTAATTGGAAAAATTTTTTTAATTTTAAAAATCAGAGCATGAGTCTAAAAAAAGAATAGTACTCCATGTGCACTAAATATATATATACACATATATATGTGTAGATACACATACATGTGATGTATGTTATATGTATATATGTATACATATATATCTATATTCATTTATTTCTGCTCTTGCCCTAAAGGCACTCTAATGCTGACTAAAATGTCCAGCTGACTCTCAGGCAAAGTTTATTTTTGGCTTTGACTTCATTATCCTTTGTTCCAGGGACACCTCAGCAAATGAGCAACTTATAGAACAGAATAAAAGTTTCCATCCAGAGAAGAATAGTAAGGACACATTCTACTCTCTTCGACTTATAACTCAGATAGGATGGATTGCAGAGTGTGTTCAGATCACAATATCATCAGACCCTAACAGCTGAACTGGAAAAGGGCTTTAAAGGGCGTCCAATCTAACCTTGCCCCTCAAGTTACAGATAAGGAAACTGAGACCCAGAGAGGTTAAGTGATTTTCGTAAGGTCACACAAAGAGTAAGGGGCAAAGTCATGATTTGAAACCAAGTCTTCTGATTCTGGCATTTCCAGTGTTCTTTGCTGTTTTCCCAGCTTTTACTAATGATGAACATCCCCTATGTTTAAAAAAAGTGGAATTTCCATTAGCTAATGGAAACCAGGTTAATGGAAGCAGGGGGTCTGGATATACAGGGCATCACTCACAAGATAATTTCTTCCTGTGACCCTTCCATCCACTCCAGCCAGAGGAGCAGCAAGGTATGACTGTCTCACACCCAAGCAGTGGATTGGATTCCAGGTTGAAAGTAGTTTCCTGGCATCCCATTGGCCCAGAAGGCAGGAAATGGTTGCTTAGCAACATGCCTAGACCCCACAGAGTTGGGGAGGAAAAAACCTGTGGGCTAGTCTCTTGTCTGCCTGCCTGTGCTACTAGGAAGAAGGAAGAGCAGTAGGGGTCAAGGTGCTACTGCTCAGGAAGATGAAACTCCTATTCCTGCTGATAGAGATGTGGATGATTCTTGAGGTCACAGTAAAAAGTAGGTTCTTCACTCCTTACTTGGGCCCCTTATGAATTATGGTCCTATCTATAAATGTAGCAGTGGGATGGGTGGAGGTTAGACTACAGAACCAAAAGTCAGCATATCACAACTAACTCCTTTCTTGGAAAGGAACAAGAAAAGGTAAAAATAATGGACAAAGAGGTGATACTCATTCTCAGCAATACATAGGGCAGGAAGAACATCAATAGAAAAACCCTAAAATAGTAGAATGAGGATAAGAAGAGTTTTATAGAATGGATAGGAGAAGCTTAGGCTAGGTTAGTAAGTTTAGTTAGGACTTCAGGAACATGAACACGGAAAAGCAGAGACAGTTCCAAAATCCCAATGGCAAAATCTAGGAGACAAAGAGTGAAAAAGTACAGCAGACTTAGGGATACATATGGGCCCATATGTGTATTTTTCATTAGTCTAACCCAAAACACAATTCTTCTGACTTCAATTTAAAAGTTTCCTGAAAAATTCCTGCCTTCAAAAAATCAGTTTTCTTCTCCAATCTTATTTCCCACTTTTTTTTAACAATTCAATTCAATTCAGTAAGACTTCAGGTAATTTCCCCAACTCCAGGTCAGGGAAATTCAGAGAGCTATCCCTAGGCATGGCACATGAGGGTAATCGAGGCTAAAGATTCATAGGATTCCAAAATAGGCAGATAAACAGAGGTAGCTGATGGTAGAGAAGTAGGGAAGCCTATCAAATGCAATACAGAAAAAGGCCCAGGCCATAAGAATTAACCCACACAATCCTCAAAATTCTCAAAACAAAATAGTTGGGATTGCCCTTCATCATTACCACACATTAAAAACTCATGTTGCACTTTTATGACTTCAAGTGCCAATGACAAAAATTAGCCTGATTTCACTTATGTAACAATTGGACTCCTGAAGTCTCTGAGAACTCTGGCTCTAGAGTCTCTTGCTACATACTTTTCCTAGTTCTAATATGACCATTTGGGGGTAATCAGTTGTACAAATCATAGGCTAATCCCCCATGCAATACAACATTTTATTACCGGACTTGGCAAGAATACCAATCCAACAGCATAAGATATGAAAAAGCAGTGTAAATAATAGGAGAAAATCAAACAATAGAAAGATTATTTGTCCCTTATACAAATGGATACAAATGTATTACTGTTTGAGGTGGTAGATGGGATAAAAATCTACTAGAAAAAAACTTCTAAGGAAATGAAAAACCATACCTCAGTGGATAGAGTGTGAAAATTGTCAATCATTTCCCTTCTCTCATCATGTTCTCAGTGGCCAGTATAGAGATCTGCTAACCTCCAAGCAGGCTTAAATCTACTGAATCCTCTTGGCTTGGCTCCAAGACCATTAGAATCCTAAGGCTCTCAAGTTCAAGGACACCATGTCCACTTACATCAGTCTACCTATTCTTTTGTTTCTCTACTGTGACCAAACTCTAGAACTTACCTCTATCTTATCACATCAATTGAACATTTATCATGCCAGGGATACTGGATTAATGGAACAATCCTATTCACAGGAAGCTGACATTCTAATGAAGAAGACAAGTGCATACATAGAAGGTATGAAATAAATATAAAGTTAATACATATGTTACATAGATGTACATGCACACATAAATATATACAGAGACATACAGACAGACAGTAGATAGATAGATAGATAGATAGATAGATAGATAGATAGATAGATAGATAGATAGATAGGAGTTAAATAAAAGTTAGTTGGGAAGGGAAAGCATTAGCATTTGGGGGGATGAGTCCAAGACTTAATGCAGAAATAAGATGGTGTTTAAGTCGTGTCTTAAAGGAAGAGAAAGACTCTATGGAGGAAGTGCATTCCAGGAACTATGAAGGCCAGTACAAAACAAGGAGACTGGGGATAGAGTGTCAGAGAAGGGTCAGGTTGGCTAGATTACAGAATATGGGAGAGGGATAACGTCCAATGAGTCTTCAATAATAAATTAAGATCCAGAATAGTTTGTATTTGATCATAGATGCCATAGGAAGCCACTGGAGTTTGCTGAGTAGGGGAATCATACCATTAGACTGTGCCTAAGGAAAATCACTTTGAAAATAGTGTATAGGAGGGACCAAAATGGTGAGAGACTTTAAGCAGGGAGTCACATTAGGAGGCTGTTGAAATAGTACAGCTGAGAGGTGATGAGGGACTGAACTAATACAGCAGATATGTGAGTGGAGAGACAAGATTAAGATATTGTGGAGGAAGAAATGGCACATTTTGGCAACTAATTAGATATGTGGAATGAGGGAGATTGAGCACTCAAAGATAATGACAAGGTTGCCAACCTGGGAGACTGAAAGGATGGTGGTATCTTTGACAAAAATTGGAAAGTTTAGAAGAGGGGAATGCTTAGGGTGAAAGATAATGAGTTCATTTTGGATATGTCAAGATTGAGATGTATCTGGAATATCAGTTTTGAAATTTCCAATCAGCAAACAGGTGATCTGGAAATGAAGCTCATGATAAAGACTAGGGCTAGATATATAGATCTGTAAGTCATCTGTACAGATAGTTAAAACTATGAAAGCTGATGAGTTTACTGAGTGTATACAGGAAAAAAAGAAAAGAACCTTAGAGAACTCCTCATTAGTTCTGATATGGACGATGAGCCAGTAAAGGAGATGAAGAAGGAATTATCAGATGGGGAGGAGAACCGGAACAGCACAGTGTCATAACAACCCAGAGAGGATAGAATATCCAGGAAGAGAGCAGATAATTAACAGTGCCAAATGTAGCAGATAGGTTAGAAGGATGAGGATTGGCAAAAGAGATCATTTGGTAACTTTGAAGATAAGATAGCAGTTTCAATTAAGTGATGATATCAAATGCCAAATTACCAGAGTTTGAGGAGTTAGTGAAATGAGAGGAAGTGAAGTTAATGAATGTTCAAAGCTTTTTCAAAGTTAGCTGAGAAAGGAAAGATATAGAATGACAGATAGCTTGAGGAGATGGTAGGGTCTAATACAGGGGGTTTTTTGTCAGTTTGGGTTTTTTTGGATTGGGGAGTTTTGGTCATATTTGAAGATAATAGGAAAAGAACCAGTAGATGGAGAAGTTGACAGTTTGAGGGGGGATGACTGAAGATACAATCTTCTAGAGAAATGGAGTGGGGCTGAAGTACACATGTAGAGAGGGTGGCCTCAGCACAGAGAAATGTTACCTTTGTCAGATACTGGAGGAAAGTAGGAGAGAGGGGGAGGTGATTTTAAGGAGTTTTTAGTCAATCATTCATTAAACATTTAAGTGCTTAATATATGCCAAGCACTGAGCTAAATGTTGGGGATACAAAGAAAGGCAAAAGACAGCCATTGTCCTTGAGAAGCTCATAATCTAATAGAGGAAACATGAAGAAAACAGTAGAAGAGGAAGTTCACATTTAATAGGCTCTATTTTTTTTTTTTTAGTAATGAGGTAAGATCTTCAGCTGAGAAAGATGAAGGAGAAGGAAGTAGGAGGGATTTGAGCAGGGAAGAGAAGATTTGGAATGGCCTCTGTGGGGATGAAGATAAGAAATCAATTAGGGAGGATTAAAAGACTGCCTTAATGATATGACAACCCCACTGAGTTGGATAATATGAATTTGTAATGTACACAGTCAGCTTGGTCATGAGACATCTTTCAGTCTTCTGAATCTCAGGAATACATTTGGATTCCTCAGACACTGAACCGAATTACTTTTTCATGCCTATCTTTTTTACCTTCCTTTTTCTTTACTCCATAGCTCCCCATCCCTTTTCATTTTTTTTTCGCAATTTGCACTGTCTGACACGGTATTTATAATTAGAAACAAGATCCACTGGGTGTCCAATATACTGGAACTTTCTCCAGTAAACAGAAGCTCCTCTGCCTTATCACTATAAGTAGAAAGCCACCATAGAGAACTCCCATTTAGGAACATCTCTTATATTTTTGTATGAAAATAATGGTGGAGAAGGAACAAGGTGTGATTTGCCATCCTTTCTCCCCTACATCCTACATGGAGGACTAGCACCTTTGGGAGGGCTTGCCAAGCCCTTTTAGGGCTGCTAATCCATCTCTGGTATCTACCTGGTACTCGATTCTCACCTATGGCTCCAAGTGTCCAGTGGCCATACCGCAGTAAACCTCCTCAGCAGATGGGCTAAACCAAGTTGAGGGTAACCAATGAGCCTCAAACCTGTCGGTGAGTTAGGGGGTGTCTATCCCAAGCATGTGAAGACTTCCCAGGATGGAATGGGTAAATGAGAACGATTTGTTCCAATGGCCATGAAGGCAGCTGAAGCAGGTGCTGTGGAGTGCTTAGAACTTGATCAGATATAAAAGATGCCAAAGTTATCCACAGCATCCTGAGCCACTATCAGTCATCCTGACTTTTGTCTAATCACTGGACTTCAATAACTCTAGCAGAGAGAACGAGGCAGACAACTTTGTGCCAGCTCTGCCTCGATTAAACCCAATTTGTGGGCAAGTCAAGACATCACCCTGGGCTGTGGTTAGTTCTCTTCAAAAACACAAGGCAAATAACAACAGCATCCTACATTCTAGAGAAAGCTCTGAGTATGTAATAGAAGAGTGATCTAAGCGAAAGTCATTGGGTCTCTTTTTCCTTTTTGTAAATCATTAGCCTCATTTAGATGTAATATTTAAGGTTCCATCACAATGGAAAATACTGGCCTTTCTCTACACAATCTCTATTGGTTAGAAATATTGGGTAAATTATATTAAAACATTTTGGGGGGGTTTTCCCTACTATCCTATAAATTCTGCTAGAATGAGGGAGTATAAAACAAACAAACAAAACAGAGAAAATATTGCAAAAAGGTACACACACGGACTTGAGGAGTTATTCAAGATGTTTTCTACCAGTTACTTTTAAAATGCCAAATTAAAGAGTTTGAGAGAAAAACCCAAGTCTGTCCCTGATCATCATCATCTTGTATGTGGGCTCTACCCTTGGCTCTGATTGAACACCTGCAAAGAAAATTATCCCAGGGGAAGGGATCTAAATTATTAGCTGACACTGGATTTTGGCATCCTGGACTCTACCTCTCTAACAGTTCCAGAGCTCTCCCTCTTTGATCAGGAGTAATAACAGCTCATATTTTTAAGCAATTTAAGGTTTACAAGGGCATCCTCACAGCAACCCCAGAAAGCAGGCAATCTAAACAATACTGTTCTCTTTCCATATGAGGAAACTGAGGCCCAATTAGGTTCAATTCAATTCAAAAGATATTTGATGTAAGCGCCTGAGCATAGCATTGCTCTAGTTGCTGGCAGACATAGACAAAAATAAAAGGGTTCCTGCCCACAAGTAGCTTTCATTCCACTGAAGAAAGGCATAATGTGTTCAAAAGTATGCAATTTATAACCATAATCAAAAGGTAAAGTTGTAAAGTTGAAAATAATCTTTTCAAGCAATCTTGGTCTTCTTTATTTTCCTTCTCTTGTGGTTTCCTACTTTCTGTCCCCAGAATTAGATAGCCCACTATCTAGACTAAATATATCTCATTGTTGGTCTTTAGAAAATAAATTAGCCGACAGGATCCTTTAAGAATCCTTGCCCACTGAAAAGCATAACAATAAACTTTGCCACCTTGGCTTAAAGAAAATAAATAAATTAGCCTAGCTCTATATAGTGTTTCAGGTTTTTCTAGATAACACTTCTGTAACCCTTATCTCTGGGTACAGAAAACTCTAGTCAAAATAGATATACCCCTCTCTGTAATCTCTCCAGGGGGTAGCTTCTCCATTTTCTGTCCTCAGATTCAAGTAGTTTTCCCTCCCAGCTACTCAAACAAGAAAGATCCTTGGCCTTCTCCAAGAAATTCTCAGCCTACTCACATCCCCCCTCCCATAGCTTTTATACCTTCTGCCTCAACTTTCCACATCTTTCCCCTTCTTCTTGGTGATCTTGAGGCTTTAGCATGAGAATTATTCTCTTGCCTTTTGACCCATCCTTTCTGTCCAGATGGTGTTTGAAGCAATTTCTCAAGCCACTTGTATGATGAGAACTTAATTATAGTTGGCTTCTTTTACCTGTGGCCCTAGTTTGGCATCCAGATCCCCTCTTGTCTAGAGACCATGAAACTCTGTCTTAATATAGACTAAACTACCCTCTAGTGAGCCTGGTTCTTTCCATGTTGCTAGCAGCTGGCATAGCATCTTCTTTGGTTCTGAATTTCTCTTCCTGTTCAAAACCTTGTTCAATCTGATGATAGCTTTCTTACCCGGTTCCTAATTTACTGGTTGGATGGCAATGGACACACCCAAGACCAAATACCAATAGACACTTTCTATTGGCCCTCTCTCCCTTTGTCTATAGACTCAACCCACAAAAATCTTGGGTTCATGGCTTATCTGCCTCCCCTAGGGATTTACTTTGTACTCTCTGGGTTTTAAAATTTGAAAGAAAAAAAAAAGAACAACTACTTGGCACACCTCACTTTGCCCCACCCAAAAAGATATGGTTTGTCATTATTTTGTTAATGTTCTATAGGGAAACTGGGATTTTTCATTTTTCAAAAATACATAGCAGTCAGCAAGCATTTATTAAGCACTTACTATGTGCCAGGCACTGCTTTGTTTGCATAAAAGCAAACAGGCTTTGTTGCTGACAGATCTGCTTAGAGGCAGTAAAGTACAGAGAGAAAAAAAGCATTGGATTAGCAGTTAGAGGGCCTGGTTCAAATTCCACCTTTGTAATTTACTATCTGTATGACCTCAGGAAAGTCATACAATAACTTATCTGGGCCTCATCTGTTAAATGAGAGGCTTGGACTAGATGACCTCCAAGCTCCCTTTCAGCTCCAATCCTTTGTGATAATAAAAGAAGAAGGAAATAGGGCAAGATGGGCAGAGAACAATGATCTTTGATTTCTTCCTACTTTTGGTTTTAGATTAGATTCTTGTGTGCTAAACCAGAAAGGAGCTTTGGAATATATAACCCTAAATAAATTACTTTGTTATCTGTAACCAAGGGCTTCAATCTCCATTAGGGTTGATGGTTATCTGTAATAGAGAATTTAGATGCCCACAGAAATTGAAAAAAAATGTTTTAAGTCAGCCTGTGAGCATTCTGCCTGACTTTTGTTTGCTAGCTGGGATGGCTATGACTAAATTGCTATGAGCCTGCCCTGACCAGGCTGAGGTCTAGCACCACTGTACCAACTTAAACTGGAGATCAGGACAGGTTTGGAAGAGGAGAGATTTGATCCTTTTCAGAATGATGGAAAGTGTTACACAGTAAAGAAAGGAAAGGACAGGTATTCAGTTAGAGTTTAGGAACAGAGTTGAGACTTTCCAAAAAGGAGAAAGAGTTGGATGATCTGAGGAACAAGAAGTTGCTTGTCCTCCAAAAAATGAGGTGGATTGTTCTCCAAAGAATGAGCCACAAAAGCTATCAGGGGAGAGATCATCCAGGAAGAAGAAAGAAAAGAAGAGTAGTCATTGGTGATTCCCTGCTCAGGGAGCAGCTAGCTTTCATTTGGAAAAAGGGCCCAGGCTACCGAACTTTCATTCTCTGAACTCCACCCCTCCTTTCTAACCGCACTTCCCCAGCCACATTTCCACTAATTTTATGCATTGCCTTCCCATGTTTGAACGTAAATGCCTTGAGAGAAAGATCTGTCATTTTTCGTTGTTTTCATTTGTATTTCTATCGCTTAGCACAACGACTGGAACATAGTAATCAATTGATAAATTCTTGTTAACTTGAGATGGCTTAAATGGCCCTGAAGTTGTGAGAATAGGAGTGTGTAGCAGGGAGCAAAGTCCAGCAGAGACTTCATCCCTATAGCAACCAAAGCAACACTCAGCTGAGAATGAGTGCCCAGTAGTCACCACAAGGCCATCATAGTAATAATCCCAGCAGAAGTGCCATTAAGCCATCAGAACAATGGGCTAGTGGGTAAGCCATTACCACAAGACCAATAGGGACCAGTGGAGCAACAAGCCTAATGAAGATTTCATAAGCAGCAAAAAGGCCATGAAGGCAGTACAGTGACATCACCAGAAAATATTGGTTTTCACAGAGTCTCAGAGATGTGAGTTGGCACTACACACCTGTGCCCTGCTCAGGCATATTCCCCATCCATGTGATATTCATTATCTCTATTCATGCTTGCTGGCCCAAATAATGGTTATGTGCATTTATGGAAAAGTGTTCCCTAGATTTATGGAGAAAATATTCTATTATTCCTTTTCTTACTACACTATATCATCAAATGCCCTTGCTTTGAACTAATGCAGTACTGGATGACTAGAGAAAAGGGAAAAAAAAACATTGATGGAAGTTTTGGGACCATGGTTTTGAGTGAATGTTGACTGAGTACCCTGAACCCAGGTTACTCAAGTGGTAAGATGGTACTATAGGAACTATAATTCTCTAAATCTGGGCACTAGATTATGCCAATACCTGGGCTCTCTACTATTAGGTTTTGGGTTTTTTTTTCCTTTTGTTTATAGTGCAGTTCCCATTTTGAACTGTCACAAACTCCAACTAGAAGAACTGAAAGTCTACTGCTTTTGTCTTCCCTGCCCACCCTCCCCCATATAAGCCTTCCTTTCAAGTT